GACCTTACAGAGTATGAATTTATTAGTATTTTTGTAGTAGTATACTGTCTGCAGCAACAATTCCTGCTTGTAAAAAAGTGCAGTGTTGTACTATAAGACTACGTTAATGTCTACAGGAGTGAATCTCTCACCTGATGTCATGGTGATGTTGATAGAAAAGCTGTCATGTCATCTGACATCATTTGCATCAACAGATTTTGGTGTCAATTCATTGGAGAAAAGTGAAATATCGTTCTTGTAGAATAGGAGGCTAAAGGGCTCAATAGAAATCCTAATTGAAGATGACGATTTTAATGGAAGCAATATATTTTATTCCAACTGGTAAAGTCAAACTGCTCATTCTGTTCCATTCATAAATGCTCATTTTAGCCGTTTTAGCGCTTCAGCAGCGCCTATAAGAATCAATCTACATTGAATCATTTTCATTGATTAAAGCTGGGGTAAGTAAGGGTGGAAAGAGGGTGACAGCAGGTTAGACTTTTAGAAAGAGCTACTGATCCATCCCACAGCCTACCATTTGCTTTAATGTCAAAACCCACCGATAGGAAATCATTGTCGGGAATAGATCTCAGGTCTGTATCAGACTTTCTACTTCCATTGACTGTGATTAGTTTCCTTCATCATCCTTTACATCAGGTTTTACAGGTTTACACAGATCTGCAGATCTACTATTGGTCTACTATTAACCTGGTTAAAAAACAGTGAAAAACATAAACCTCATATTTTGAGCTTTGTGTTATTTGGGTTTTAATAACAGATTATTAGCTAAGTGCATTTTTCTCTCCCTGATTTAACCTAAATTAACACTGATAAAAACGCGTTCATCAATTAATACAACTGAGAACAGCATGCACAGACACAGAGCTTCGACAGCAGCCTGTGCACACTCTTTAATTTCCTCATTCATGTAGCTCTTCCAAAGAGTAGAAACTCGGAAGGGCATCCAGCATAAAAAGTGTGCCAAAAACACTCTGCAGACTAGCCACTGCGATGACCCCTGGTGAAGGCAAAAAAACGAAAGTGATTTCATTTCCTGAGAGTAAAACTATAAAAAGATATCGTACATGGACTGAATAACATGAAACCAAATTAAGCAAATAAAAATGCAGGGGAAGTCGACATGTGCTCCGCAAAGAAGCCAGCAGCACAGTCCTTTCTTTGTGATTAAGTCTTAACTGTTACTATGGCAACTGAGGTTCTGCCCTCGCTTATCGAGGAACTTGCTAATTAGTTTGTGGTAAATAATAACTTGAGGGGTAAAGTTAATGAAACCAAAGCACATATGTTTTTTTTTTTGTTTGTTTTTTACCGGTTTGAATGTGTTGTGATGGTAACGGTGAAGACGACTGATAAACACAGGGGCAGGATTGAAAAGGTCACATCAGCAGCATATTCTGACTGATGATAGAGCAACAAATGTATGTAACAAATGTGATGCAGAAGGTACAGAAAATAAAAATGGTTAAATTCTGCCTTCTGTCCATCACTCTTTTGGTCCTACCAACTAAGAATCACAACCTGTCTCAGATGGATAGTAAGCGAAATAAAAGCCAAAAAATGGATGATGAAGCGTCTTTCTCTTCGCTCTTATTAAGATGAAAAACATAGAAACTGTTTCCATTATAAGTTTCTAGAGATGTGGTAACCACAAGTTACAAGTGCTGTAACTATTATTTTGATAGATAGATGATAGAGGATGGATGGATGTATGGATGGATGGCTGATGGGTGGAATAATAGATGGATGTATGGATAGATGGATGGATGGATGTGTGCAAGCCGACAAAATTATGTTTTGTTTTTAAATATACTCAAAAATATCATTACAAATGCAATGCAACATGCGGCTTTCTCGTGATTCACTACTGTGTCTGACAGACTTAATGATTATAAATAAAACAATATAAAACATTTGGGTACATTACAGTACATTTGGGTCGCTCAGCATTTAGGAAAGTCCATCCAATCTATCGCTATGAAAACCATTTTTACTTTAGGTTTTCACTTAAAGGCAATTTTGAAAATGTTGCAGGGTTCTGAATAAGCAGCACACAAGGTGTATCTGTAGCTTCATGTTATTCCTAATGGAATATGCTTTGAGTTTACATGAAGGAAATGCACCACGGCCAACCATCAGTTCTGTTTCAGTTTATTTTTGCTCCTCTTTTATTTTCTGCCTTTTTACTATTTCTAGATATAACTGCTTGAAATAAATAACTTTTTTTTGTTTTTTATCAGCGCTCATGTCACAAAGGAAGTAAGATAACAAAGGAAAGTGTTGATTACAAGTGAAAACAGGCTCAACGCTACATCACAAGGTCTATTTGACAGCGGGATTATGAAATATGCTTCTGAGGCTGCCCTGAGGCGTCCAATTACTGCTGGTGAGGTTTAAACGATACTGAGATTTTAAATGAGAGAGTGGATCATTAAAACATTTAGGTGAGGTTCCCTTCCAGGCTGACAGCGGAGTGGTCTTCCCAAAACATCATCTTCAATCTTTACACTCCATATATATGGCAGATTGATTGGATCTCCTTTCATGTAAAGTAAAGTAAAAAACAACAGTGCTCTGCCGTAACAACTATAGCTGCACGGCTACGGCCCCACAATACGGCTTAAGAAATTAAGTAATTTTTAATTCAACCGTTGCAATACCAACAGTTTTTCCAGATTTTCGAAGTTCAAACTGGACAGGATCGTCATAGTAGAAGGGGTCTCCAATGATGACGAGAGTCTATTGTTTCCAGAGAACACAGATGATGTAAGAAAGAGTGAGAGAAGACATTTACCTCAACCTGGAGACCCCAGCACCCAACCAAAAAAAAAAAACTAATTTCAGGTTCATTCCATCTATTACATGGTTCAGACAACTAAACCTTCATACATAATAGAACATAGACAGACTTCAAGAAGCACAGAGTCGGCTAGCTCCACCAGGTGACCCAGGTCTACAAGAAAAAGATACCTGCGTTGTGTAGACATACTGACTCTTTATTCAAATTAAGAGAGTTGAAATGTCTTCAAAACTTCAAACCAGTCCAGTTGCTACTCTTGAACTTTTTAGTCTGAAATCCCTGGATGACTTTGAACCTACACAGACATAACTCCTGGCTCAGATGTTCCACCAACTGATGATTTAAAAGCAAATGTTTGGTTTCCACTGTTTGTTTAACTGTGTGTGAGCTCACTGCTCTCCCCATTCTCTGATTTAATACCGGGCCATTAAACTCAGACAAGATTATTTGTCAGAGCTGCCTTAATTTCTGTTTAACATATTTGCCTCATTTGTACAATAATTTAAAGGCATTTAGAAAAACATCTGTTTATCATCTGGTTATATTTTTAACGCAATCAAATAAGGCAATTTATGTAAAGTAAAAACATATGCTGCAGGTTAACACTGAATGAAACAATTGAATAAGTGAGTGAATGAACTAGCTATTATGATTGTTCTTCAATCTCTTCATGAAATGTGAGATGAGTGGTTTATACAATGTCAGGACCTTGGTGAGACACAAGCTGAATGAGGGATAAGCTTAATAAAAAATGAGTTTTAAAAAAACTAAAAGCAGAATATATCAGGAATAATAATCACAGCAGATCATTTCAACATTTGCAATTCAATTCTTGATAATGTTGGGTGCAAATTTGACAGTGTTTTGCAAAAACACAATCAGTTGCAGAGTTTGTATAATGGCTAACTTCCTGACCCAACCTGGGATTTCACAGGATCTAGAAACAAAGTAGTATTACTAGTATTGGAACTAGTGGGGGGAAAAACTACTAAACACACACAACTTTGTCTCTGGCACATTCAAATCAATGCTCACCTTCTGAGTCC